ATTATCAAGATAAGTGTTAATTTTTGTTATAAATTATATATATGACAAACCCATAGGGTCACTGGTAATTAATAAACTTGTTTTTAACTTAAAATTATTAAATTAATTATAAAATGCAGTGTGTATCACACTGATATATTTATAAATGTATTGTATCAGTGTAAATGTGTATTTTATTTTTTATCATGTCAGAATGTATTTTGTTTGTTTACTTTCGATAAATTAATAATTTTTTTAAATAATCTTTTGTTCTCGACTTTTCAGTAGGCTCGCGCCCCCCGTGTAGAGTTGTCACGTCCCCTAAGGGGGGAGCGCCCTACAGTTTGAGAAACACTGGTTTAATGTCTTCACGTGAGGAATTTAGTAGAGGGAAATATTGGCTCATATATGTCCTTTTAACAAGTAATATAAAAAATTTTTTTTAAAGTCAATTCCTACTTAGATCAACAAAGAAAAACTTTATTTTAATTACTTTTTATTAAATAATTACAATTAATATAAATATGTATATACATATGACAGAATCACAATATTAAATGACAAAATAGAAAGTGATTTTCCATTTTCTTTTCTATACATAGTGTTGAATTATTATTTTTTTGTTTGTCGCTATTTATTCGTTCATAAATCACATTCTCTCAGAAATTAGGTCATCCCATTTAGGATTCGAACCCACGACCTTTGGATTAGAAGTCCAACGCGCTACCCATTGCGCTACAGAGACACAACGAGGGATTTTTCTTTCCTTGTATGGTGTTGGACTATTATTTTTGTGTGATTGTTACTATTTATTCATTAATTAAATATAATTAATAAATAAATATTTGAAAAAAATGTGTTAACATCAAGTGTCATCCTCTACAAGTTTTAAAAAAATGTATTTGAATTTGAGTTTATGAATAAAAAGTGTTTTATTAACGATTGAAAATTTGAACAAGATATATAGGGAGAGTGTGCACTAATAGTAGGAATTGTGAAAAATTGATTATGGTTCAGGATTAAAAGTTCGTCACCAATAATTTTAGTGTAGCTTTAAAAGACGACATTAATTCAAATCGACTAACCAACAAAGCTTTGAGCAATTTTTTTGTGACTAAGAAATGGGACATAAAACTTTAATTGGTTTTGAAATTGCATAATATGTTGAATGACCACTCGACTGAAGCAAGCCGGGGCTTACTTAAAGGAAGGAACTCCCTAAGCGAATCTTAGAATCATTTAAGAATGTATTTGATTGTTAACTTTTTAAAATATATTTTCTTGAAATAAAAAAATTAAAAAAAATTTTTTTTAGAAGTTTAAAGTTAATATTGAAGAACATTTCAATATTTTATATTTTTATATAAATAGAAATATTGACCCGCCGAGTTGAGGGGAAAATTACGTTAAATTTGTCGAGATTCCAAGTCCTCATATTGGTTGGGTGTGGAAATTTGGAGAGGGGGGTACCAGCTCAGCAGGGCCGGCTCTAGCAGTTTTGCCACCCCGGACAAAAATGAAA